AACTGCCAGAAGACTCCACAAAGATGCTCAGCAAATACAAAGCATGGGAAAATTTAATTGGGCCCACAAAATATAATGCAACTGTTAAGGGATATGTCTAGTTTGCTAGGCACCCTCCATACTGCACCTATCATGGGATGTCAGCAAAGAGTTAAGGGTTATAACACAAAACTTTATTTAGTAATTTAAATGAAAAAAATAAAAAAATAAAAAAAATTAATATGAGACAATCTCATTTACTGAGGCCTCTACCTCCAAGCTTCAAACAAAGCTTTCTGAAAAAAAATTTTTGAACTAAACACAAAATTATATGAATGAAATATTAAATGTTAAACTCAGGGTTCTAGCAATATCCACAGGTTGTTCCCCATTAACACAAGTGTCTGTACAGTTGTCGACAAAATATTCTCAAGACGTCTGGTAGCACTACTGTACAGTACTCACGGACACATACAGATTGTCACAATGTTTCAGTCTCCTATCCCGTGTTGTATAAAACAAGGAGCACAAAAAGTGTCACTTATATGCATGATTTTTGGCCTTTAAGCATGTCGTCTGTGCTTTCTCAGATGCTACCACACACATTGAGAGTACTGATTTTGTTGGCAACTGTACATACAGTGTATTTCAACCCTTTGGGCATGATTAAGACAGCCTCCTAACTTTAGCCTAAGATTTGGTCTGATAGATGTGACCTTGACACGAGTACATGGGGCGTTTCCATATTTTCCTGGGGGTCATCTGTAAACTGAATTTCCCATTCCCTATATTCCCCATATGTTCTGAAGCTTGCCCAGTGTAAATTCATAGAATGCATTGTTCTTCAAGAACATAACCCTGACTGTACCCCCAAAAAGTGCCCACCAGGAATGCATTATTTCTTAAGGGAAAATTAGTTAAACATATTATATTGCAATATCATCCTTTTTCAATCAATCTTAGCCAGTAATTTGCAAGACACAATATTCAAACAAACGGTTACGATATACTGTGCATGAACACTTTAGTTATGGGGCAGAACCAAAAACTTTAAAAGCTGATGGAGGAACAGTACACCATAGTACTACCCACAATCTGTGAGCATATATTTTAAAATATAAAAACAATACAGTACTACTGTACATTATAAGCCCCCATCAAAATTGGATATTCTTGGGACCAAGTGTGCCAAACTTGATGATTTGGTAAACTTAAGAGTGATTTAAACCATAAGTGGACCATAATGAACACAAAATACCAGTCCTGGATGTATAACAATATGTACAGGCCCAGAGGCCATAACTATAAATTATATAGGTTGACCTCATTCATGCCTGGGGAAGGCAACAGAAGCAAACGTGTCATAAGTGACCATAGTAAAAGATCTAGTAAAAAGAACAGCCACAGTCCCTCTTTTAATGAAATATTTGCATTGTACAGTATTAAGTTTTCAAGCATACACTAATAGCAATTTTATAAGTACATGCACATAAACATTGAAAAACAGATCTTATGAATGAGGAAACTCAAATACTATTTTTTCTCCATAAGGAGAGGTTTTAGGTGAGTTATGGGAGTGTACAGAACTAAATGATTGCATGAGGTGGTGTAAGGCTGTCAGGGTCATCATTGGGTAGCAGCAGGTCACATTTGATGGAAAACAAGGCTGCTCCAGTGGGTTACCAGAGAACTGCTGCTACAAGCTGAAGTCATTGATCAAATGTGTCTGTGGCAGGGATACTGGAGGTGCTGGCATAACTGAAGGTTGGGGAAAATGAGCTTGAAAACTGAGTTAAGGTTGACTGTTTTGCTGTTCACTATAAAGCTCCCTGAAGACAAAAACACTTGATAACATCCTTCCGAATTGTGAACTTTGCTCCAGGTTGTGATCCATGTCAATACTTACCTGGGTCAAAAGGTTAATGAGTGCAAGGTATTGTCAGTTGGTTCTGTGGTACAGTACTATACGCTAATTTATTTATGCTCTTTATCTTAAGTTTTTATTGTTAGTAATTTTTTTGGCTTCTTCAAGGTTCTATATTTGAGGAAGAACTCTAAGGCCATTTTTGGGGAGCCATTATCAATGTAAAATAGACAGAATCAAGTCAGCAAGCACCGGGTACATTCTGCCATGCAAGATGTTTTTCTATGATGCATTATGCCTAGAAATGATAAAAAGTGCAAATTTTAGCTCAGTACTAACGAATCAGGTTGTTGCAAAGCCAGCATAAAAGACATGATACAAACAAGGTACCAGTGACCCTTTGGGCTCACATTAAGTATAAATTAAAAGGTTGGATTACAAATTAAAGTTGGAGGTTTGTCAGGGAAAGTTATGGAAGAACTGGATATACTATAATGTATATATAGCTACAAAAGCCTTCAAGCCCATAAACCTAAGAAAAATATCAACAAGGGGAATTTCTTTTATGAAGATAAGCAAAATCTTTTGAGATGATGACAGGCATATAAAAATTACCAAAATGTGAAAAAATTTCTGGAGCTGTTTTTGTAAATCCTCAACTGTGGGTTACATGTGTTGTGTCTGTCAGGTTCCCAGTGATCATCATTTAATTATATTTTAATATCTTTAATTTTTTGATCTGGTTGTTTTTGTTTGGTTATCTTGGAGAAAAAAAAAACGAAAAAAAAAACGTTCAGTCTCATAACAAAATGTGGCAAAAATGAAGGTGTTGTCTCTTATATCTCACAGTCACAAGTAATTTAGGACAGACTAGATGTGATCAACAAGCTGGTACCTCACACCCACACATTTCTGTGTTACGGATTTTCCACTGGTACAGGTTGTACCTCTCTAGTCCGGCATTCTGTGGTCCGGAAACTCCCGTGATCCGGAACGATTTTAGTTTGCCCATGGAGAAAATTAATTTGAGTCTGGTACTTTCAATGTTTGGCTAAATTTGGCCTTATTTACCCTACTTTTTTGGCGAATTACTACCTGTAATAAAGCAACATTCTAATAAATCAGCAAAAATAACACAGATAAAGTTAAATAAAAAACTAAAAACAACACAGAAAAGTTCTTATGTTCTACAGCTTTAGCTAGAGTTGAACCTGATGACTTAGCAACTTCGTCATCCGAGTAAAAACACACACAACAACATTGGCTGTCTTTATGTTTTCAACTTTACCAGAAACATTAATTTAAACATATATGAACAGTAAATAAATGTTGCTTTCATATTCTTATGTAGAGTAAGTAATGACGATATGTTTTCACATGTGCGCACTTAGATACACGCAGTTTCACTTTTTTCTTTACCATTAATGGTTAGCTACTTTTATTGTTCCATTTATTTACATTAAATAACATTACTTAAAACAACCATATTAATTTTTTTACATTAATTTTACTACAGCTACAACCAGGGTCTTATTTTCTTCAGTTTTATATGTAGAACCAGTCAGTCACTGGTTTTGTAAACAACAAAAACAATGCCGTCTCGTCTCCGTGTGTGTTTTAATATTCTACATATTATTAATGAATTGTATTGTTCATTTTGCACACATAAACATTAATTCAATCAAGAAGACATTCAGTAATAAACAATAATGAATCTTTTGTACAGAGAAATGACGCTGTTTACACAATTGTGCACGTCTCAACGTTGGCGGGCCGCTCAAACCCGTCGAAATTCGAGTTTCCGCCGTCAAAATTTTATATTGTGTAGTGTTTTTTTGTCCAAATAAAAATCGTTGAATTAAAAACTCGCGAAATTTGAGAACCTACTGTACAACATTTAACCCTTGAATATGTCTTCAAAGAGACCACGAAGCAGTGAAAGTGGTGCTAGTGCTTCCAAGTGTATGCAGAAGTCACTATCTATCCAGGAAAAGGGTGAATTTCCATGGTCCGGCACCGGTCAGGTCCCGAGGTTGCCGGACTAGAGAGGTACAACCTGTAATTTATAAGTTGTATATATCAGAGGATCACAAACATCGTTATTCAATATTTTACAGGAGTTGTCTATGTACAAATCATCTTTAAAATGTTGGTCATGTGCTTATCTTTCAAACTTTGGTCAGGCAAGTAAAAATTAATATATTTTATTTTTGGCTTAAAGTTATTAAAAACAAGATAACTGTTCTATTTGCAAAGTGCTTGTATATATAACACTAATTCACAGAACAAATATGAGAGATAAAGATTTGATCAATCATATTTTCATGATTCTTTCACCTTGTAAATATTTGAAAATTGCAAATTTGTTTTCTGATGAACATGAAACTAGTCATTTCATAAGAGAAGTTGGGCAAACTTAAAAGGTTTCACTGTACATCCCAGAATTTGACCAAGTACTATACTGTACTGTACTGTAATGAGCAATGCATTACTGTACTCAGAACTGAGTTATGAGTACAGTACTGTACACATGTAACAAGGTAACACCAGAGTTAACAGATGAGGTGATGATGATGAGGAGACTATGACTATGAAATCTATACCAATGCATGTGTTGAGAGAACATCTACAGTACAACGGCTCCCCAGTAAAACATGGCAGGACTGGAGAGTCGAGTTCCATTGTGTAAATAGACTTACTGAAATTCTTGTTCCTACAACATACTATATACCTCATAAATGTGTCTTTTACTTGAGATCTTCAGGTAATTCATGCAAAGGAAATTTTTCATTTTGTCATGATAAGATGAAGAGATTTATTGACTACATGGAATATTTGATCTAATAAAGGTGAAAATATGTTCAAGACACTATACATCACAGATTAAACACTACATGGAAAGAAAACAAAAACAGTATACAATATATCTACACAATTATATATATATATATATATATATATATATATATATATATATATATATATATATATATATATATATATATATATATATATATATATATATATATATATATATATATATATATATATATATATATATATATATATATATATATATATATATATATATATATATATATATATATATATATATATATATATATATATATATATATACATATATATATATATTATATATATATGCAATTTCTAAATACATATACTGTACCAGGTACTGTGCTGTACCACACTGGCAAGAAAAATAACATTAACTGTTTAGAGGGCAGTGACACACTTAGTAGTTATATTCTGACTAATACCAGACAATTTCATTCAGGTGAGAGAGATGCCTGCTGCCCTCTAAAGGGTTAAGGAAATAATTATCCCTCCATCTCAGAATGATTATTATGCTGTAGGATATATATCTGGTTAGAGGGGTCTTTAACTGAACATCTCATGCATATATTCTCTGGATTAATAGTTCTTTGGCCCATTATTTAATTCACCTCTAGTTAACATCTTTTTGTCTACACAGTAGCATCCCTAAATTTGTTATGCTGTGGAGTGACATGTTAAAAGCTTCTGACTCAAGCTTTTCATTCTAACAATAAAATCATCTCAATCCTCAAATGAAAACCTCATCAAATATAGTTCATACAAAAATTAAATCAAGTACGAAGATACCGCCAGTACCGACACAATTATTCAACTATCACGTCCCGTGGTAAGAAGAGTGAGTGCCTTCTGGAGGTTATTAATGGCAGTCTTAGAATCTTCATAGTCAAGAGCTGAAATAGCCCACTTGCAGTACTTCTGAGCTTTCCCAATCATGTCAGGACTTAGTGTCACACTGCCACCTGCAAAAGGACAATTCATGAAGTTCTAATGTCTAAAACTTTCATGTCTATCTTTAAAGTTTATGAAAAATACATTCAAAACCAATATTAAGTTTTTGCTATTTTTATCATAATTATCATTATGTACACATCAACATTTAAACCTCGGCAAGCTAAAGTGCTAACCATTCATACAAGGTAAGTTAGGCACATATAGCATTGATTCAATAAAAGAGAGTAAATATGACACATAAACAATTAAATACATCAATGAAAAATGTAAATAAAATAAAAACTACTTTGGAATACCATACAATATGACGTATCCATCTTAAGGCATTACAAATCTATTAATTATCTCAAAGCACAGCAGAGATTACTCCAAAGCAGTAGTATAGAAAGTAGAAGAAAACTATTTCTATGCTGTGCTGTGCTGTACTGCACTTTTGAGATCCTGAGCATTTCTAATGTTGGTTGACTCTTGCAGTGACAACTGGGCTGAGAGACTGCAGAAGGCATAAATACACTGGGCGCTTGTAATAAAAGTTTTGTGCATCACATTGACGACCACACAACATACCTGATGTAAAAAACTAAGGACTGACCCATAAATCCTGCTGTCAAGAGGATTCCTTACTCCCTTAGCCAGGCAGCTCTTGGTACTTCTGGCTGGCTGGAGAACTATGATATACCTGTACCTTCCTTTCCCCCATTTATCCTCACCCCAGGGAGAAGGAAGGGTACCTCTTAAAATTTATGAAAGAGAGATATCTTTTTAGGAGATGATAAAAGTGAAATCATCTCCTTATTCATGCATGAACCAGATCTTGTCCCATGTAGTAAGAAGGGGTAGAGTATACATATAAAACTCATGAATTCCATGTGGTACTGTGCAACCAAAAAACTACATAGTTGAAGTAAAGCCAGGCCAAGTACTGTACTAGACTGAACCCTTTAGTGAAGCTAAGTGAACATTAAAAATCCAGACAAATTATTTCTGAAATACAGTATACTTACAAGGTGGTGAAAGATATCATAACCCATAACAAAACTTCATCCCCCCCCCCCCTTTCCATCCCTCCTTTAACTTGCAGCAGGACACTAAGTTTATCTCAAAACTCTGAAGCAAGAAATCTAATCAATTAGAACAATACTATCCTGCAATAACTACAACGTTGTTTGTCTTTAATGATGAACTTACTTTACATTAAACATCCATTTAATTGGATTAACTGAGGGGTAGGAGGGTCTGGATTTTATAAATTTCCTTATTTTCCAGATTCTCCCCTTATTTGTAGGAGCTATGGTTAAACTGAGAACGATCCAATTTCTTGTGTTGTAGTTTTATTACATTTATGGAATATAGCTCAGTCACACGAGTGGAGGGTTCCTGTAAATCATGACATTAAATCCTAGCTGGTAAAAACATATACATAAGACAGTCAATCCACTACTGGATCAGTTATAAAAAGATTACTATATTGAAACTATCTTCAAACTTAAAGCGAGTACAGTACTTGAACGAATAATAGGATTGACCTAAACTTAAAAGCCAAGAATTTTCAAATTTGCCTATGGATTGGAACACACCAACAGCTAGTTACCCTTGAGGTCCACAGGAAACAACCAAATGTCCATCTTCACACTCTGCCTCACCTAAGTATAAAGATCATCCTACAGCACGAATCTCAACATTCAACCCTTTGGGGTCTGAACTGAAATTACCCGATGACCTCTTTAAAATATCTATGAACAAGGAGAAGCATCCTTAGGGGCTATATTTCCTACTCTGATCCAAAAAACAAAAGCTGAAAATATAAAATTAAATAGCTCTGTCAACTATCAACTCCTAAACTACTGATTAGATTAATAAAACACAAAACAGCCCCATTTACTGTACCTGTAGTTGGTGGTGCTGGTGAGTGATATACATTAGTTGGTGGGGGTTGTGCTGGCAAAGAATGAGGCACCTGCAACACAGGTTCAACATTAGTGGGTAAACTATAATACTGCATAAAAGCTTAATTAATTCAAGAATACACTACAGGGGGTCCCCGGGTTACAAACAGGTTCACGTTCCTGAGGACGTTCTTAAGTCGTAAATGTACGTAAGTTGGAACGCATGCTATGTGCATACCATACTTACAGAACAATGCTTAAAATCCCACTTGATCATAGCCTAAGTTTTTATATACATCTCAAATCACTTAATTTAAGAGAAAAGAAGAAATAGAATAAAAAAATACAGTAAATGAAAGTAAAAAATAAGTCATCAGGTAAATAAATTACTGTAAATTTCAAGATAAACCTCGTTAGTATCGGTGGGCGTTCATAAGTCAGGGACCCCGTGTACCTAAATCATGTGTGATCATTTTGACTAACAATATAACAATAATAAGTATCTTATCCTTAGTAAATGAAATGATCCAAAATTCACCAGCCAGAAACAATTGGCCACAGCCACTCAGTTTTGTAGTCACTTATGAACTAAAGTGTTTTTGGTAGGAAAACCACAGTTCCACTTGGATTAATAAAGCAAGAGACCATACTGGGGCATGGTGGTCACTGACTGAGGCCAGTACTGGGGCATGGTGGTCACTGACTGAGGCCAGTACTGGGGCATGGTGGTCACTGACTGAGGCCAGTACTGGGGCATAAGGGCATGACTGATCAAACTCTGGCTTTAAGCACATTTCTAGCCTTTCCCCCATCCCCTGTAAGCAGAACAGAGGACAACCACCTGCCACATATATCCCCTCATTTAAGAATGACTGCACATGGGAGGCAGGCAGTGTGATCAGTAAGATTAAATCATTACAGGGGGCCACCCCCCAACTTCGCCAATTTTTATTTCGTGGTCCTCTATTATTCACGGATGACACCCTGGATGTACCCAAGAATGTCTGTGGGTACAGTGATCCCTCGGTTAACGAGCGCCTCGGTTAACAAAATTTTGGTTTATGAATTACCTTCCATAAGATTCTTAACTGCGGTTAACGAGCATTCCCTCGATTAACGAATTCCTTACGAGCACCCCTCCACATGTTTTCGCTTGCACACTAGCTGTCATATTAGTCCGCCAATACAGTAATCGGTTCTAGGGCTTAAATTCCTTACTATTTTAGTAAATATTACGAAGTTTGTACTATTCAATAATTTTAAAAGTCTTATATTAAATTTTTTAGCCATTTTAACAATTATTTAACATAATTTAAGTACAGGAAAACTAGTTTTCAGCGCACCAAACAGCCTGTCAACACACCAAACAGGCGTCAGTCTCTGTGTCTTTTCAGTGGAGGTAACATCTTGCTTCAGACTCTCTTCAACATAAATGCTTTTTTTCTGTTTCCAGTCAAATTATTGGTCATTTTGAAATTTATTTTACATATTGACAATATATAATGCAGTGCAGTGTTGATTTAAAGAAAATAATCTTGAATTACACCAAGTGAACTAAAATTTTATGGGTGACTTCTCTACCACCCCAATGCCTTCTCGTCTCCCTTCTCCTCCACCCCCATTCTAATTCCCATCATCATCATCATCATCATCCAGGAGCCTTCTACATACACACCTCAAAGTAAGTGTACTTTACTATCTTTTTTGTTGACTTTAGGCAATTTTCGGTGAGCTGGAACCAATTACCCAAAAACCCATTGAAACAATGGTTTTGGTTTAACGAATTTTTCGGTTAACGAGCAAACTTCTAAAACGAATTGTGCTCGTTAACCGAGGGACCACTGTAGTTTTAAAGTTGCCGGTACTTTTGCAACTGGGACAGGAAGCCATTCGTTCTCGACAGTAATTTCCTTTACCTGTATTGCATATGTGTGTGTGTGTGTGTGTGTGTGTGTGTGTGTGTGTGGGTAGACACACACAACACATACAAATAAATAATACTGTAATGGGAAAATCCTCACAAATAATCAGAAACAAATTTATAAAAAATGTGAGTCTACCCTCAAGTCCGTGCTTTATTACTTTATTAATAAAGGATGGACTTGAGGGTAGACTGTCACATTTTTAATACATTTTTTGGATAATATTTTTTTCTATGCCAATCACTTGTTAGCTTGTAAGCTTTATTATATTTTTCCATTCTTTTGGATTTTTCAAGTGTACATCTGTCTCCTTAGACCAGACATCAACCAGTAACCCACCACCAATTTATATTGAGATCCTACATCCTACATAAATTAAGTGAATATATTATTTACTTGCTTTTCAGACACTGGTATACAAAATTTAGTCAGAACTCTTGGATCTGCAGAGCAGCTCAGACCTGTGAGCTAAGTGCACTAGCAACCCAATCCTGAAATTTCCTGAAGCAAATTTACCAAGAAACATTTACCCTCTTTCCTCACATGCCATTTGTGTAGTCTCACTCTTTGGGTCAAAGTATTTATGTGAAATACTCTTCAGCAAAATGAAATTCACAAAATCAAAGTAATGCTCTGGGATGATGAGTGACAGTCACTTAGAGACTTGTCAATCAGACTGAGAATTTATAATATAAGTACTGTAACAGAAGTACAGTACTGTAGAGTGGCTCACTAGTGAGATATACTATATACTACACTACTCCCTGTACTTATGGTAATGTTGTCAAAGCACCGTTAATGCTAACGTTGCATCCAAAGGGCTAAATAAAATAAATCAGCCATTATATGAACCTGTGGTTGAGAAAGTGGATCAGAGAAGTTATTAGAGCCCATCATTGCTGGAGGCCCAGCTGCAGGTGGTGGAGGTGAGGATGATGATACTGATGGTAGACCACTATAATCTGTGGATCCAGGCACAGATGGTAAACCAGGATGTGGCTGTGATGGATGAGACCATCCCATTGCCACACCTGATGATCCACCCACAGCACCTTCCTGGTCTCCCTCTCCTCCTCCATCTTCTTCACCTAAACCTTCATCATCTGAAAAATGAGAAATTGATCCTGAAATTCCATTTCATAGATGGAATGATTTGTGAATACATGAACTGTATATCCACTGAAGTTGCAGCACTTGGAAACCCTGGTGCACTATAACCATGATAGCTGAAGATTAAGACTTCTCTCCTCCAGCAACCCTACCCCTTGTAAAGTGATAAATCAAAAGCTGCTGTTACCCAAAAGGTTGCAAGGGATCATCACTGTACGTTGTACTGGTATGCTATACGTAATTTCACATATACTGTACATTGCTATCAAATATGGGAAGAAATTTTCATTATGCATCAATTGTTTCACATATACTGTACTGTACATGGTCTGCACATCCACTGTTTTATACTACTGTACTGGTTGTATATCCGAGCACAACACAGTGCTAAATGCACACAATATAAAAGTGTACAGTAATAGAAGGATATAAGATATAAGAAAAGAAAAAAATAAGAGTGTAGGGGTACATTGTGTGTGGGAGAATAGTGAGTTTAGAAATCACCATAACACACGGGCACTTGTTAGCTGTGAGAAGACTGTGCAAGTGACATTGTTACATAAGAAACCATAAAAGTTGTGGAAATATCATTTCAATGCTCTAATGCAACTTAGAAATAAAGAAAAAATATATAAATTAAGAAAAATTAAGAGTGGGAAGTGAATTGTGTGGGGGGTAGGATAGGTGGCTGGCTGGACAACTCCACCCTCGACCCTGTTAACATGACTGTATGCAATGTCGATATAATTCTCATATTATTTACGTTCATTTGGTGCCACGTTAATAAAACATTATCGTAAAATAATAAATTTTCCTGAAAAAATCCCACACCCAACCCCAGATGAGTTAATGCATTGTATTAAATTCCTGGTGCTTGCTTACAAGGCACAAACAGCTGATCATCCTCCCCCTCCCTCTGAGCAGTGTTGTAGGGGACACCCTACAAAACCTCAACACTACCTGGTACATTGTTGCCAATGCTCTCTTCTCTCATGCACCTCTGCTGTCACTGATCAAGATGGTTGGTGCTTACCACAACATCAGTCTTCAACACTTAGTAATATTGTTGTGTATTTACCAGAACTTAATAAACAGTATTGTAGTGTATAATGCATCTCCATATGCCCTAGTATATTCACAGATCAGTTGTCTAAATGTACAAGTAGTAAAATTGAGCCATCATGTATGACTCAAAGGCAACAAATAATGTTGTCAGGAATGTATCTCTACATCATGTACTATACAATAGTGTATTATAATTACCCCTTGTAAACTGATATGCTGAAAGTCCAGAGCTTTCATGGGGTATTACTGTATATGTTGGGACACATATACCCCTAATTACATTGATTCTTATCGAGAAAAATTACCCATTATAAAACATTTCATTATAAGTCGCTTTTCTCGGTAACACATCCCTAACATGTAATGAGGACCCCCTGTACCTGCATGGCCAGTCTAGCTCAAGCTCTTTGGAGGAATCTGATGACAGAATAGAATAGTGTATTTAGATGGAAATATAAAAATTCCCTTAATTTTTTTTAAACATATTAAACAATGGAATCATCCTTCAGGCTTACCTCCGCCCATTGGTCCAGGGATGGGTGTCTCGCCATTCTTGAGACAGTTGTGAATGTATGTAGCTTTCCATTTGGCATACTTCCTCTGAGAGGCAACTTCTTCTGATATCTCACCAAAAACTTCACAAACATCAAACAAGAGACCAGCTGTATAGAAGACTTTGACAACATTTCTGTTAAGAATATAAAAGGTGATTCGTGAACTTTTCACAGTTGGACTAAAAGTGTTCATCATTAAAGATCAAACTACAGTACAGCATCAATGATCAATATGAATAGTTCTATCATATCAGCAACAAACTAAAAATCTTGTTTCACTGCAATATCTTTACCAGTTGCAAAATCACAGTGGGAAGGAAATCATACATATTGTATATACATACAGGGTGGTTACTGTAGGATTCCTGGATCTTCAAGGCAGATCCCTTTGATCTTGCAGATCAATTGTCAAATGAGCTATACAGTAATACCCCGATTTACACAGTCAATTGAACCCGCGGAGTAGCGCGTAAAACGAGAAACACGTAAATGGAATAACATAACATATGGGATTAATTGAAATAGAGACTGGGCCGATTCCCAAACTCCATTTTTTCCGACATAATACCTACAAATAACATCTTAATTTTATGATGGTATGCACACACAATTAATATCTAAGAGAAATACAGTCGCCAGGTTAATGTCCATTCAAATAATGGACTCAATCCCCCCCCACCCCCCCCTCTTCCCACGCTCGCTGGCTCCTCCCTCTCTGAGAAATGTTTGGGAGAAAACACTAGATTTTAAGGTATAGTAATAAATAATACCTCAAACTAAAGTTAGGATAATATAATTGACATTGCTGGATTCCTTGCAAGGCCAGGAATATTTTGAATATAAATGTCATATAATTTGCAAAAAAGATAAAATTTTGGCTTTGTAATCAAAATTCTTAAATTAGATCTAAAATTTGTATGTCTAATACAAATTCCATGATGTTTATATTTAAAATAATCAAAATCTTATAAGAATTCCAGCAATGTAAATTATATTCTGGCTGGGTAATTTGTATGAATTTTATGAGCTAAAACAAATATCTTCAGTAAATAAACAAATTATTATTCACCCAGACACTATCTGTCAATCAAAATACCCCACCTCCGCTCCCCCCCCTCTTCCCACGCTCACTGGGTCCCTCCCTCCCTACCCCCCACCTTCCTTCCCTTACCAGAGAAATGTTTGGGAGAAAATAGTATATTTACATTTTTAGTAATAAATAATACCTCAGACTAAAGTTAGGATAATATAATTGATATTTCTGGATTCCTTGCAGGTCAGGGAATATTTTGAATGTAAACTTCATATATTTTGCACAAAAGATAAAATATTTACTTATTTTCATGATCTCTTTAAATTACATCTAAAATTTGTATGTCTAATGCAAATGTTATGATGTTTATATTTAAAACGATCACCACCTTGTAAGGATTCCAGCAATGTAAATTATATATTTTATGAGCCAAAAACATATATATCTTCAGTAAATAAACAAATTATACTTCACCTGCATAAATGAGTAAATTCACCGCGTAAATCGGGCATCCCGGTTCTGGCAAGGTACCGCGTAAATAACCAAAAGCGTAAACGAGAACCGTGTAAATCGAGGTTCAACTGTAGTCCATAAAGTAATGGAAAAGATTCATAACAAGGAAGAGCACACAAGTGTCCAAGTTATGATGTGTTAGTGAGTTTTAGTAGCTGTAATTAGTGAAAGAATTGATATGTGTATTTATCATTGCCAGTTTCTTCTCAGGCTTCCTTATTGAATTTCAAAGAAAAAAAAAATTATCATTGCCAGTTTCTTCTCAGGCTTCCTTATTGAATTTCAAAGAAAAATAAAAAATTATCATTGCCAGTTTCTTCTCAGGCTTCCTTATTGAATTTCAAAGAAAAATAAAAAATTATCATTGCCAGTTTCTTCTCAGGCTTCCTTATTGAATTTAAAAAAAAAAAAAAAAAAAAATGAGAGAAAAATACTCACTTGTTAAACCTAGCAGCACGATCCTCACCATCAGCCCACATGAAGAGCTTATGCCCTACATTCTCTACCAGGGCCTGACCTGCGATATCGTTTGTTACCGACTCATTATCAGCATGTTCCTGAAACATACCATCAAGTCTTTTAAACTAGGTACTACAACATTAACATCACATTCATCATTTTTAGGAATGTTCTATGTACAGTACTGTACTGTAGTGTACTCACATAATGGCAACATCCAAATATCCTGCCAGTACTTATCATCAAGATGCCCTTAGCAGGAGTAGCAAGATGGTATCCAAGTTAGAAAATATTTATCAACTTAAAAGTGGGGAAGTCTGCCACTTCACTTGGATGTGCCTACAAAGCAGACAAGTCCAGTATATACTGTACTGTACACACTCAAGAGATTACTAAGAAGATAACCACTACAGGTGCCCAATCAATCCCAATAACTGTAATTTGTTGTAAGTTTACCTTCCATACCAACCCTTATTTCCAGCAGCTCTACTACTGTACCTCATTGTACCAACCCTCTGGATGACCCTTCACCACCCTCTCCTTACACCAAATGCTTTGGGAAGTTCTGCTCTCACTCTACAGTGTTGACTTTACTAACTGCATTCTCATGTCGTAGTTTCAATGTGTGCACTGTTTCACTATGAGTAATAAATACAAATTTGGTGAACAGTATTAACTGGAATTTGTATGATTGAAGACCAAATAACCAGTCGACAGAGAAAGTGACGGGAGTGCAAATGGTTGCTCTGAGAAGAGGGTCTTGAACCTAACCACCTCTTTACAAGTAAACTTGTTTTAATTTTGTGCAGTTTTGCTTTGCATGCCATTTTTCAGGAATGCATGCAGAGCATGGGATCAGTGTACAGTAAGTATATTGCAGTAGTGCAAGATATGTGAAAATGCAGTATCTGCAAGTAAAAACACAAGCTTCTATCATGTACTGCAAATAAGTTGCCACCACTCCACCTCACTGACTGTATGCATACCATCTTACACTACACTCCTACTTAAATATAAATAAATCTCAGAAACTTTCTCACTAGGAATTATTTGCATGTATAAATATTAATGTAACAATTACTACGGCGCACTTTATGACAACATAAAATGTATGAACAACAAAAATATAATTATACTAGTTCTAAAGAGGATGACATCACCTGCCTTGAGCCTCACAGGTCATGTTACCTACCTAAGACATGGGACATTCAAATACCTTATGGAACCCAAAAATGTGTATCCCAAATATCCTTTTCTTTTAATAATAATTTCACATGATATTAAACAAAACACAGACAGCTTTTCTCTATGCATATCGATAATTTACTGTACCTAAAACTATCACACTGTATTTGACAATGAAGATGTTAAAATGACTGAATATTTAAACCCTATGCCCACTGTACATAGTTTACGTAGAAATGAACATTTCTCCAGTATTCGGAACAAAGCAAACTGATAAGTCATGATTAAAGTTAACTGCAAAAGAAAACTCTTATAATTACCTTCTTAAAAGTTTCAAGGTAGTCCATCAGACCTGTAAGCACGGCTCGAGCCTCTGGTGACTTACGGTCCAGTCTGAGAGCTGTTTGTAAAGCGTAGAGTCGTGCTGGAAATAAAATAAAATATTTAAGTCCTAAAAAACTAAATGTCCAAGATCCAAATATTCTGAGGAGCAAATTGTACTGTACCCAATTACATGAAGCTTTACTGTACATCACCATGTAACTATATTACAATAGAGGCCAGACTCCTATACTCTGTACTAACCTAACAGTCTAAGAAGTCAAACTTAGTACAGTCTCTCCTCAACTTACGACAGGGTTCCGTCCCGACGACCAGGTCGTAAGTCGAATTAGTCGTTGAAAAAGCGAAAATAATACATAGAAATTCTAAAATGAAATACAGTACAGTAAAAGTAATTAATAATGAAAAATGAATGAAGTGTTACTGTGCACTTACCTTTAATGTAGTCCGCTAAATGCACACGGGGCCTCAATAATTTTTTTAATTAAGCATGTAGACTATATTAATTGGATGAAGCAGAGGAGGAGACAGGGATGGGTGGGTCATCAAGTTCGCTTTCTTCAAACAGGCTAACATACTTGGTTGTTGAAGGTATTGGATCATCTTTAGGGATTGAAGAGGCAGCAGTGGTGGGGCATGAGGAGAAAGCAGTAGGGGACTTCTTAAAAAATATGTCCAATTTAGACTGCACAGTTTGCCTTCTCTTTTCATTGTAAATCTCCCTGTAGCATGCAAGTGCATCTTGGATCAGTCTGTCAACTTTTGCAAAACGCTCAACATTTTGATCCATTTCGTCAAACATTTGGATCCCCTTATTAATTGTAGCAAATGCCTCTGCCATTTGTTTCACTGAAAACTTTGTGGGGGGTGCAGGTTCTTCTTCTACATTTAGACTCTCTTCTTCCTCTGCAATTTTCTGTGCATCCAGTTCAATAAGATCCTCGTTACTTAGCTCTTCTGCTACACTTTCCACCAACTGCTCAACATCTTCATTATCAATTTCTAACTCCAGCTGTTGACCCATCTGCACAATCTTGTTACTAATCTCAGAAATTGCTTCATCTTCATTAAATCCTTTGAAACTGTTCACATATCTTTTCAGGACCTTCTTCCATATTCCATTCATGCACTGACCTGTAACCTCATCCCATGCTACAGCTACTTTCTTTGTACATTGCAAAATGTTGTAGTCCTTCCAAAACTCTCTGAGCGTTTTCTCACCTTCAATAGCAGCAATAGCTTGAGCGAAGGCCGTACGTAAATAATTCGCTTTAAAAGCAGCAATAGCACCTTGATCCATGGGTTGGATGATAGAGGGAGTGTTAGGTGGAAGGTAGACTACCTTAACAGGGTGCAGATCGTCCAAGTGTGGTGGGAGCATTATCTAAAATTAATAAAATCTTGAACGCAACCCCTTGTTGCAGACAATACTCCTTGGCTCGTGGAATGAAACAACTCAGGAACCAAACCTCAAACAGTGCTAGGGTCATCCATGCTTTCTTATTACTTCGATAAAACACTGGCAGTGTGTGCTTGCTGACATTTTTAAAAGCCCTTGGGTTCTCTGAATGATATATCATGAAGGGTTTTACCTTGAAACCAGCTGCATCCCCCCCCCCCCCAACAGAAGTGTGATTCGGTCCTTGAATGCCTTGAATCCCTGCACTGTTTTAGCCTCTTTGTGGATGTATGTCCGTTCTGGCATGTGCTTCCATAATAAGCCAGTTTCATCCACATTAAATATTTGCTCAGGCAAATAATTTCCCTCCATGATGACACGATCTAGCTCCTCCTTAAAAGCTTCGGCAGCACCCACATCAGCACTTGCTGCCTCTCCACTCACCTTTACACTGTGCAAACTGTAACATTTCTTAAACCTTTGGAACCACCCATGACTTGCTGTGAAGTTTTGGTCACACTCATCTCCTGCCTGCTCTTTCAGGATTTCGAAAAGTCTTCTTGCCTTAGACTGTATGGTTAGAAGGCTTAAGGGTACACTCTTTTGCAGCTGATCTTCCATCCACATCACAAGTAATTTTTCCATCTCATGAAGAGGTCCTTGTCTTTTTTTCATTATTATTGCTCCCTTTATAGGTGCTGATCCTTTCACTACCTCACGAATTCGTTCCTTGTCCTTCAAAATTTTTTATATCATCAAGTGAGAGAAGCCAAGGTCATGTGAAATGGTTGCTACTGTTTTTCCATTTTCATATTGCATTATTATTTTCATTTTCATCTCAAAAGTAATTGACTGTCTCTTTTCTTCTCAGCACCATGAGAACTCTCACTTTGACGCTTGCCAGTCATTTTAAAGGGAATAAGAAACGAAAATTTTGTCAGTACACAGCGCGATCACTAACAACAACAACGACGGCCAAACACCAACTGAGCGGGCTACAGCGTGGATGCTGTACACCATGAGGAGGCCCGGCCCATGCTGTCGTACGGGGTCACATTACGACAAGACGTTTTGGGACTTGAAAATACGTAATGTGAAAAATATTTTATACGACCACGGTGGTCATCTGCCTGGGTTGTCGTAAGTTGAGTATGTCGTAAGTCGAGGAGAGACTGTACTGCACTGTTCAGTACAGTATATGTACAGTAACTAAAACAACTATCTGTGCAGGTGGGGGGTCGATATGCTCCAAAATTTTACGTGTGACTAGTGACAGCCCTCATATACCAAAATTTATCGTCCATGGTCTCATATTGTTTCCCACAGAGTATGCACAGAGAGTTGTTTTAGCTACTGTACAACACAACTCAAACACATTGACAACAGGTCAAGAGTCATGTACGGCATTAAAATGAGAACACACCACACAAGAGTGAAGGACATGTGGTAGAACATGAATGGATAATAAATGTTATGGGTAATCATTTAAGAACATGGTGACCATCATCACCTGTGGGTCCCCCAAATTGGTTTACTGTACAGTACTGTACTATATTATCTCTACTGAACTTTTGTCTAAAAATAAATATCATCGTCATCACCATTGTTTTACAGCCATTTCCCATCTTTGTATCACTGCGTGGGTTAACTACAGTTACTTGATGGCAGCTCTCCATGCTGCACAATCTTTCGTCAGGTTCCTAACTCTAATGTCATACAACCTCTCCTCATGTCATTGTTGGCCTGCCCATGGCTCTCCTCCCCTCCACATTTAGGCTCATACACCTATTGACCCAATTGGTCTCATCCATTCTCTCAACATGCCTACACCATCACAGTCCGCATCTATGTAGAGCTTCACCAATACAGTCAGTCCTCGACTTACGATGGGGTTAGGGACCAACGACCAGGTCGAATTGGTCGTAAGTCGATAATGCGAAAATAATACATAGAAAATCTAAAATGGGTCTCTCTTTTTCTTCTCAGCACCACAAAACTCTCACTTTTAAGATTGCCAGCCATTTTAAAGGGAATTACAAACGAAAAAATTTTCAGTACACAGTGCGATCACTAACGTAGGGACTCGAAAATATACATGTCATTGTCACACAAATTCATAATGAACAAAAGATTAGGTAAGGAAATTATAAAAAAAATCTCATAAAATATTTTTTTTAATATTTATTAAGTGTTAGATAAAAAACTGTCATAATTAAAAAAATCATAATTATTCCTTATACTGTATGTCAAGGAGTGGTATGTAAAATTCCAACCATATCACCAACGTTCAATTGCTTCCTTACTAGCAGTCAAAATTCCATAAAACAACAGTCTTAGCTCCAATATTTCAGTGTCACATAACACATCCACCTCAACATTCTCTTTTCAGCTCAATTAAGTCTAATTATGTCATCCTCTCCAGCTGCCTATGTTTCACTGTCATTGAACACCACACTTCTCACACCAGCCACATACATTCTTCCTTTCACTCAGAGCAAAAGTTTTCTTGCTGTCAATAAAGATAGAAGCTCCCGAGACTTCCTCCAGTCACTTCTGACTTGTAACTGAGCCGGCTTCAGTACCCTCACTGATCATGTCAGCCAGGCAATAGAACTCATCCAGAGTTCAGGGACATATCCCAAATGATGAGTTTCTCCAGCCTTGCTGTGGGTACATGGTTACCTGCACAAACACAACATTTAAAGTCAGCAACATCCTGCAGTCTAACATCTACTCCACTGCACGTCTTGTGCACTGTGCCCAGCTTCCACACTCACTGCACATTATTGTTTGGGGTCGGTCAGTTGTTGGGAAGGTTGTGTCAACAGTTGAAGATATCTGGACAAACAGTGTTATCAAGTAGATGATGGTCACACAACTTCCTTATATCGGAAAAAAATAGGGAAAATATCAGAATACAAGAAGTGCGATTCCTTCACCTGATTTGGCTTATTCTTGAGGTAAAAAAATATTTCTTCTTCTAAAGATTTTTTCACTAGGTAGCTGGTTAACCCAGACACTTATCTTAATTATTAGGCAGTGGATATTTTGCCGTGACCGGCTAAGTTCCCACTAACACTATTTTACCGTGAGTGCGCTATGGGTTTTATTAGTTTCAGCTGCAACTCGGTATTATTTTAGGTTAGGTGAGATATGGAATGGTTACTGGGAAGCATTTCTCAACATTTGAAGTGTCACTTGGAGGTGTGTGTATTTATGCCATAACAAGAAAAATGGAAAATCAAAATTATGTAAACTGTCATTCCTTCATCTATTTTGAGATAATCTTGAAGTAAGAAAGAAGTGATTTGCTAAAAAAACAAAAAACAAAAAAAACAAAGAATTATATATATATATATATATATATATATATATATATATATATATATATATATATATATATATATATATATATATATATATATATATATATATATATATATATATATATATTATATATATATTAGTTGCTGGTTAACCCAGGATAATGTTCCAGACAATTACGAACAACTTTACTACATACTGTACACCTATAAAGGGTAAAGATGTATTAGAGGGTGACCACCAGAAGGAATTGTCTGAATTGGTTGAAATTTTTTCTACACACTAATATATTTAACACAAAAGTGGAAACGACAATGTATAGAACCTGACCTAACATACCCAACCTATGGGTATGTTAGGTCAGGTTCTATTAGGTTCTTTGCATTATTTTGTATATATTTTTTATAATGCTAATAACATTATATTAAACACAGAAATGGAAATGACAATGCATAGAACCTAATAAAACCTGACAATCTTTTATTTACTCTATCCCGCTTCACAATTCTCCCCCCGAAGACATTTTTTTGTTTATCTCGCTGACTCCCTCTTCAAGACACGTTTCCTGTAGATGATGGTGAACGCTTCCATGTATTCCTCCTTGCCATTACTGATGTATATCAACCTCATTATTAATGTAAGTCATTTAACACATAAATTAACACGACAATGCATAGAACCTAATAAAACCTGACCTAACATACCCATAGGTTGGGTATGTTAGGTCAGGTTCTATACATTGTCGGTTCCACTTTTGTGTTAAATATATTAGTGTGTAGAAAAAATTTCAACCAATTCAGACAATTCCTTCTGGTGGTCACCCTCTAATACATCTTTACCCCTATAAAGACTATGGCCTTATATACCAATGTAATCTTTAGCTAATGGAAATAAAACAAAAAAAATCTTGACTTTTAACAGGACAGGACCAGTAGTTGATGTTTCCAAAACCAGACATCTTCCACAGGTTTGTTTTATTTCGCTGTGGCTACTACACTAAAAGTAAAAATATAAAACGAGTACAGTACATCCATTCAGGAATTATTTGTCAGTTATTACCAAAATAATAAGTCATCTAAGTTTACGTCAGTCACACATACAGACAGGCTAACTCTTTATCTGAGTATATCACCACTTAGAAGAAAACTATTAATTACTCACACCAGTAGGCCACCACAGGTTCTCTCTTGTCATATTCGGTGGCTAGTCTAATGTAGTGCTGGACAGTTCTGAGGGAAGGTGGGCAGGGCGGTAGGTTAGGTCTAGCAGCAGACATGTTTGTTGTGGTACTGAGTGACGTCATCTAACAGCTCACCATATCTTTCACTTTTCTCATAAATTATCTTGATTGTAAATGAAAAATACCAAATTAACGAAAATAAAGTAAAGTATATTGTTCATATATTTTTTTCCATGATCGCATATCTTGAACAGGAAGCCGAATATATCATACATGGTATCCCTAAAATGTAAATTTTTCTGATTACTATAATTATTTTATAGTCTTTCTAGCGACCATAAACTTTAAGGTGCGTATGTTTATAATTTTCACTACTTTTTAGCTTTCATCTTTTTTTTATCCTCTTCGCCATTAAGCGGCGTGATAATGAGTGATTTTTTATAATTATTTCAAGAAAAACATGACGGAGTTAATTAACATCTACAACACAGTAAGAGATCCCTTTGGCAAATTAAAATTAAGGAATACAGTGAGTCAGTGATATTTCATTTAACGATCTTCCAATTTTTCTTTAATTTAATTTTACTTTTACTATTGCCTCTTCACCACTGATCGGCTCGTTAACCGCTTGGGCGATCGGTCACGTCTCTCTTATGCACTCTTGGCAAGTACTGAGCATGCACCGGTTTCGAAATTAAAAACGCGAGTAGGAGTATCAGACCTGAGGCTTGAATATGGTAGTTACGCAGATTCTGACTAAGATAAAGCTGAGGCATTGAACAGCTTCTTTTCCTAGGTGTCCACAAGACAGGATGAGATTAACCTTCCTGCGTTTGAGGACAGACGGTTCGACACAGCACTGACCCACATTGTGCTCACAGAAGAGGGTATTAGAGGCGTATCATATGTCCCAACGGGATGAAGAAACTGCACTAGTTGAGACTGTATGTGAGAAGGACCTAGGTGTGTATGTTGACAATGAGCTGAAGTTCTCGGGACATTGCGAGAAGAAGGTAAGTCAGGCAAATAAATTATTGGGTCTTATAAGAAGGTCGCTCAGATATCTAGACGGTCCGTCCCTCGTAACCATCTTCAAGAGTGAAGTGCTTCTCCATCTGGAGTACTGTCACCCCGTCTGGTCCCCGAGATATGCTAGGACTGTCAGTTGGCTGAAAATGTTCAAAGGAGGGCCACCAGACTGGTGCCTACACTTCGGCACCTCAGCTACCCTGAGAGATTGGAGCGCCTGAACTTGCCTAGCTTATACTACAGACGGGCAAGGGGGGGACCTAGTTGAAGTGTATAAGCATCTCAGGGGGCACTACTCAGTTGAGTGTCCTTACTTGGAGCTGGCGGACGCTCGCCCCACAAGGGGTCACAGCTCAAGATTGAAAAAGCCGCAAGTCCAGAAAACTGTGAGGGCAAACTTCTTCGGAGTGAGGGTTGTAATCTCTTGGAACAATCTACCAGAGAGTGTTGTGACGGCACCGAGTGTGAGCTCTTTCAAGAGAAGACTTGACCAACACTGGAGCGGGTTCAGGTACATTCAGGAGCCGGTGCATGCCCAGTATTTGCCAACAGTGCGTGACAGAGACGTGACCGATCGCCCGGGCGGCTAGCGAGCCGACCTTTTGGTGAAGAATATAAAGGAAAAGAGACGTGACCGATCGCCCAAGCGGCTAACAAGCCGATCAGTGACGAAGAGGATAAAAGTAAAAAAAGATTGAAGAAGCCGCAAGTCCAGAAAACTGTGAGAACAAACTTTTTCGGAGTGAGGGTTGTAAAATCTTGGAACAATCTACCAGAGAGTGTTGTGACGGCACCGAGTGTGAGCTCTTTCAAGAGAAGACTTGACCAACACTGGAGCGGGTTCAGGTACATTCAGGAGCCGGTGCATGTCCAGTATTTGCCAACAGTGCGTGACAGAGACGTGACCGATCGCCCGGGAGGCTAGCGAGCCGATCTTTTGGTGACGAAGATAAATGAAAAGGAAAAGTAATCAGAGACGTGACTAATCGCTCAAGCGGCTAACGAGTCGATCAGTGGCGAGGATAAAAGTAAAGTAAAAGTAAAAGTAAAGGATTGCCAACACGGTTTTATGCCGGGGCGCTCCTGCTTAACACAATAGCTCAAAGGTATTGGATATTTGGACCCACATTCTGGAACGGGGTGGTTGTACTGCGCACATCATTGTCATCCCTAAAAATTCCATCTAATTCATATTACGTTACATAACATTCAAATGCACAGCGCTTGTAGAACCCCAGAAAACGGGAAACATTGAGAAAGGACAACTCCCCTACTCAAGGTTCCTAGACCATGTGTGGTATGGTACCCAGGTATAATTATATCATATCAAGTGTATGTATTCATAGCATTAAGGATCACTCAGGGTAGGCATAAGATGAATGTTAAAGTCCAGTTGAGCCGGACTAGGGTACTGTAAGACTAAGTGTGGAGCAGGGTTTGAAGGTCCTACTATTTACGTCTGTGAGCGTGTAGCGAACCTAACTCCAACAGATATCATATGAAAATACATGAGAACAATGATCGGGAAAAAGGGATAAATGTATCAGAACTATGTGAGGTGTTGACAGTGATATAGAAACTATACTGGAAAGGAAATATCGTGTATGCGTCGGTATGAATTTAATACACCTCGTAGCCTCACGTGACGTATACCCACGACAGGTACAGTGATCAGAGAATCTGAGGTCTGTGTTCAAATAGTGCACTGTGTGAGAGGAGGATCCCTCATTACAGTTTTTAAGTGAAGTTGATACACCCCCGCCATGATCATTCGGCTTTTGTTTCAAGGCGCGTCATGTACCCGCCTCAGATGCCCGTTGATATTAAAATCCCAGGCATTTAACCAAGCACTAGCAAACCAAGACCTGACCTTAGTGTATAAGTTAGGATTAATATATGTGTTTATAAGAAATGAGTGACAATATACCGTAAAGTGTTCAGGGGAGAACCATAAGAAACAAAAATGTAAATTGAGGATTGGAAACTGTAGGCCTATGTGACGAGAAGCGGCGGGAAGCCGGCCTTAGTCTTTCCCGTTCTGCCGTCAACACAGGTCAGTGTCCTAGCGGGCTATATCCCGCCCTACAATTAAGGTTGATAAATAACAGTGACTACAGTTTAAAGCTTTGCCGGATATATAAGTGTGATAGGGATGTGTTAAGGGATGGGATAACCGCCCGTCAGGCATTATTGCTTAGTCTTTCCCGTTCTGCCGTCAACACAGGTGCCACGTGGTTGGGGTATCTTGCCGCCCAGCCGCCATTGTCTCCTGGAGCGCCACACCAGGTGGGGAATTACTCCCCACTATACCAGTCCACTATGAACCGGTGGATTCCCAGCGCACCACTCCACATGAATAGCGCACCACTCCACATGAATAGTCACAACTAAGGAGACCGTGAGAAACTGCGGTCGTCACTTGGAGCGACCTATAATACCAGGCGTAGAAATAGTGCTGGTATGTCTCTAGGTCAAGCCCTCGTCCTTACCCACCGAGGGCGGTGTGCGAACGAGGGGCCCGTGGTGTAGACCTAAAAGTCACAAGGAGTCACATACTTGCAGGTATGGAGTGTAACAGGTGTGTTGCGATGGTGCTACTATGTATGATAACCGACGGTGCTACAAGCCACACCAGTGGAACAGTCTGATGTGTTAAGGGATATTGTAAGAAGGAACGACCGAGATACGGCGTTCACCGATTGTTGTGCAATAAGTGGGTGGATGACCCGCCAGTAATGTAGGAGTCTGGGGCCCAGTTGGGTAACCAAAATTCCGTTGTTCTTCTGAGGAAGGCCAGTTCATGTATGTTTTTTTTACCAGTGTGTTTTATAAGAAATAAATCAATGAAGACATGTTATGGTTTCACCCTTCTTTACCCTTATCGATCTGATCAATGGAAAACCTAACCCAATGCCTAGTTCACTCTGCCCGCTACCTAACGAGCTACATGCTGTCCAGAGGGGGTCTGGTGGCAGCGACCCTTAGAAATTAAGATTAGAGTTAAGTTATCCCCTTAGATTTAGTGACCCCAGATCTGGCAGTATATGGTAATATCGACAATATTTAGGTAGATTTAGACAAGGCTATCGACAGTGTACCCCACGAAAGGCTGAAAATAAAACTGGAAGGGTATGGAATTCGGGGAAATATCCTTGCGTGGATAGAAAACTTTCTACATGACCGCAAGCAGTGTGTGGTGATTAATGGCACGAAACCGTCATCCGTACCTGTCACAAGTGGGGTACCACACGGCATTGTATTGGGCCCGCTGTTGTTTGTTTGTTTCATAAATGACATGCTTGACGTTGTACAGTACACTCCTCCATACAAATGTTTGCCGATGACACCAAGTTATTTCGGGAAATCAAGAACCAAGCGGACTGTGAAGAGCTGCAGAAGGACCTCTGTGGGCTCCAAGAATGATCGAAGAAATGGCTGATGAGATTCAATGTCACGAAGTGTAAGAGGATGCACCTGGGTCGTACCAACGGTAAGGAGGCGTATCATATGTCCCAACGGGATGAAGAAACTGCACTAGTTGAGACTGAATGTGAGAAGGACCTAAGTGTGTATGTTGACAATGAGCTGAAGTTCTTGGGCCAGTGCGAGAAGAAGGTAAATCAGGCAAATAAATTATTGGGTCTTATAAGAAGGTGCATGCCCAGTACAGGCCAACAGTGCTTAACAGAGACGTGACCGATCGACCAGCGGCTAACGAGCCGATCTTTTGCAGAAGAGGATAAAAGAAAAGGAAAAGTCATCAGTGACGTGGCCCATCGCCCAAGTGGCTAACGAGCTGATCAGTGGTGAAGAGGATAAAAGTAAAAGTGAATGTACCTGAACCCGCTCCAGTGTTGGTCAAGTCTTACCTTGAAAGAGCACACATTCTGTGCCGTCACAACACTTTCTGGTAGATTGTTCCAAGAGTTCACAACTCTCACTCCGAAAAAGTTTGCCCTCACAGTTTTCTGGACTTGCGGCTTCTTCAATCTTGAGCTGTGACCCCTTGTGGGGCGAGCGTCCGCCAGCTCCAAGTAAGGACCCTGGACTGAGTAGTGCCCCTTGAGATGATTATGCACCTCAACTA